AAGGGATGCTAATTAGTAACATGAACATATATAAAAGTATAAAACTTAGCAGTAAAGGAAAATATAGTTAAATTCAGAATACTCTAAAATTGTAATAGTGGTGGGTAAGTTACTTACATTACAACTCTAGTATAAAGGTTGAAGGACAAAGTATTAAAAATAACTGTAATAACTTGTTGATACACAATACAAAAAGATGTAAATTGTGACATCAAAAACATTGTAGCATATAATGTCAAGGGGAGCATAAAAACGCAGAGCTTTTATGTGTGCTTGAAGTAAAGTTGTTATCAGCTTAAAACAGACTGTTATGATTATAAGATGTTTTATGTAAGCCTCATGATAACCACAAATCTAAAAACCTATAGTAGCTACAAAAAGATAAAGAAAAAGGAATCACAACATATCACTACAGAAAATCATCAAATTACCGAGGAAGAGAGGAAGAGAGAAACACAAGTCTACATAACAGCTAAGAAACAATGAACAAATGGCAATAGTAAATCCATAGCTATTGATAACTACACTTAAATATAAATAGACTAAATTCTCCAATTAAAAGACATAGGGTGGCTGAATGATTAAAAAAGAAGACTCAACTATCTGCTATCTACAAGAGTCTCACTTCACCTTTAAAGACACACTTAGACTGAAGGATTGGAAAAAGATTTTCCATAAAAACGAAAACCACAAAAAGCAGGTGTATCTATACTTATATCAGAAAAATTGAATTTCAGCCAAAAAAAACTATAACAAAACACAAAGATCATTATACTATGATAAGTGGGTCTATTCATCAAGGGAATATAAAATTTAAGTATTTATGCACCCAACATTGGAACACTTAAATATATAAAACAAATATAAACTGTTTACAAATGGGAGAAATAAACAGCAATATAATAACAGTAGGGAATTTCAATACTCCACTTTCAATAATGGGTAGATTATCCAGACAGAAAAAAAAAAAAAGAAGCACTGGACTTAAACTACATCTTAAACTGGAAGGACTTAACACTTTACAGACATTTACAGTACATTCCATCCTACCACAGCAGAATACACATTCTTCTCAAGCACACATAGAACATTCTCCAGAATAGATCATATTAGGCCACAAACAAGTTTTAATAAATTCTGACCACAGTGGTATGAAATAAGAAAACTGGAAAATTCACCGATATATAGAGATTAAATAACATGCTACTGAACAATCAATGGGTCAAAGAAGAAATCAAAAGGGAAATCAAAGAGTATCTTGAGACAAATGAAAATGGAAACATAACACATCAAAAATATGAAATGTAACAAAGTAGTTCTAAGAGGGAAGTTCATAGCAACAAACACCTACTTTAAGAAAAGAGAAAGATCTCAAACAATCTAACTTTACATCTCTAGAAACTAGAAAAAGAATAACAACCTAAGCACAACGTTAGTAAAAGGGAGGAAATAGTAAAGGTAAGAGAGTAAATAAGTGAATTAGAGAATAAAAAATAATAGGAAAGATCAGTAAAACTGATAGCTGTTTTTTTTTAAAAGATAAAATTGACAAAACTAGATTAAGAAAAGAAGAGAAATAAATTCAGATAAGAAAGAGGAGATATTACAACTAATACCACAAAAATACAAAGAATCATGAGACTAGTACAAATAATTATATTTAACAAATTAGATAACCTGGAAGACATAAATAAATTCCTAGAAATATGCAACCTACTGAGATTGAATCATAATAAAATGGAAAACAGACCAATTACTAGTTAGAATTTTGAATCAGTAATCAAAAACCTTCATAGAAAGGATTAGATGGCTTCACTCATGAATTACACCAAACATTTAAAGAAAAATTAATACCAACACTTATCAAACTCTTCCAAAAAATAGAAGTAAAGGAAACATTTCCAAACTCGTTTTATGAGGCCAGCATTACACTGATACCAAAACTAGACAAAGACACAACAAGAAAAGAAAATTACAGGCCAATATGAACATAGATGCAAAAATCATCAACAAAATAGCAAATTGAATTCAATAGTACATTAAAAGGATCAGACACCAAAATCAAGTGGGCATTATCCCAGGGATGTAAGGATGATTCAGCATACACAAATCAATAAATGTGATGCACCACATTAACGAAATGAAGGATAAAAATCATATGATCATTTTAATAGATGTGGAAAAATCACTTGACAAAACTCAGCCTCTCAACAAACTGATATAGTAGGCCTCAACATAATCAAGCTCATACATATATCACAGCTAACATCATACTCAATGGTGAAAAGCTAAAGCTTTTTGTCTGAGATCAGGAACAAGACAAAGATACCAACTCCACTTGTATGCAACATAGTATGGAAAGACCTAGTCAGAGCAATTCGGCAAGTATAAAAAAAGAGAAAGTCATTTAAATCAGAAATGAAGTAAACTTGTCTCTGCAGACCATGTGTTATTATATATAGAAAATGCTACTGTCTACACACACACACACACACACACACACACACACACATACACACACACACAACTATTAGGACATAAACAAATTCAGTAAAGTTTCAGAACACAAAATAAATATACAAAAATCAGGTACATTTCTATACAACAACAACTAACTATTGAAAAAAATTAAGAAATCCCTTTTACAATTCCATCAAAAACAAAAAAAAAATCTAGAATAAATTTAACCAAGGAGGTGAAAGACCTATGCATTGAAAACTGTAAGCCATTAATGAATGAAATTAAAGAAGACACAAGTAAATGAAAAATATTCTATGTTCATGGATTGGAAGAATTAACGTTGTTAAAATGTTTAAAGTACCCAAAGCGATCCACAAATTCAATGCAATCCCTACCAAAATTCCAATAGCATTTTTCACAGAAATAGGAAAAAAATCTTAAAATTTGTATGAAACCACAAAAGATACTAAATAGCCAAAGCAATCAAGAAAGAACAAAACTAAAGGCATTACATTTACTGATCCAAATTATATTCTAAAGCTACAGTAATCAAAACAGTGTGGTAGTAGTTTAAAAATTGACCCATAGATGAATGAATCAGAGTAGAGAGAGCAGAAATAAACCCATGCATATATAGTCAATTAATTTTTGACAAAAGAGCCAAGAATATACAATGGGAAAAGGATAGTTTCTTCAATAAATGGTGCTAGGAAACATGGATATCCACATGTAAAAGAATAAAATCGGACCCTTATCTTACATCATACACAACAATCAACTCAAAATGGATTAAAGACTAGAACGTAAGACCTGAAACCACAAAACTCCTGGAAGAAAACATAGAGGTAAGCTCCTTGACATTGGTCTTGGCAATGCTTTTTTGGATGTGACACCAACAGCAAAGTCAAAAATAAAAGGCAAAAATAAACAAGCGAGACTACATCAACGGAATATTATTCAGCCTTAAAAAGAAAGAAATCTTGCTTTTGCAACAATGGAGATGGACCCCAGAAGGCATTATGCTAAGTGAAATAAGCCAGACAGAGAAAGACAAATATACATGGTATCACTTATATGTGGAATAAAGAAAAGCTGAACTCATATAAACAAAGTAGAATGGTGGTTGCTGCAGGCTGGGGAGGGTGTGGAGGAAATAGGGAGAGGGTGGTGAAAAGGTACAAACTTTTAGTTGTAAGATGATTAAGGTTCTAGGATCTAATGCATAACATAGTGAATATAGTTAATAATTTTGTATTATATAACTGAAATTTACTATGAGAATACAACTTGTGTTTTCACAAAAAAAAAAAGAAAAAGTAAATTAGTGAGGTGACGTGTTTATTACCTTGAATGTGAGATTTCTTTCACAATGTTTATGTATATCAAATCATCATGTTGTATACTTTTATAATAATTTTATTTGTCAATTATATTTCAATAAAGCTGAAAAAGTTTAATATAATTAAAAAATCCTTTGTCCATGCTGAATTGAGTTGTTTCTTGTTGAGTTGTAGAAGTTCTTCATATGTTCTAAAATTTGGTCACTTATCTGGTACATGATTTGAAAATATTTTCTCCCATTCTGTGGGTTGCCTTTCCACTCTCTTGACAGTGTCTTTTGATGCACGTTTTATATTTTGAGGAAGTCTAATGTATCTATTTTTTTCTTTTGTCATGTCTAAGAAATCATTAAATCTAACGTCAGAAATATTTCTTCCTATGTTTTCTTCTAAGAGTTTTATACTTTTAGTTTTTATGCTTAAGTCTTTGATCCATTTTGAAATGATTTTTGAATATGATGTATGCTAAGGGTCCAACGTCATTCTTTTGCATATAGATACCCAGTTTTCTTAGCAACATTGGTTGAAAAAACTGTCCTTTCTCCATTGAATGGATTTATACATGAGGGTTTATTTTGGGGCTTTCTATTCTATTCCAGGTCTATATGTCTGTCCTTATCCCAGTGCCATACTGTTTTGATGACTGTAGCTTTGTATTAAGTTTTGAAATCAGAAACTGTAGATGTTCCAATTTTGCTGTTCTGTTTCAAGACCATTTGGCAATTAATAACATTTTAAAGTGCATTCTGACCAGTGTTTATGTTTCGTAAACTATATGTTTCATGTATGAGAATTTATGCCAATGTCACATTTATATTTTAAGCCCGACCTGTCCTGAGCTCTAGACTTGGAACTGCCTGACAACTTCACCACAATTCTCAAATGTTAACATATCAAAAACACAATTTTTAAATCTCTGTTTTGAAATTTACTTCTCTTGGTTTCTACATTGTAGTAAACAGCATCACATACTTTTTCTCTTTTCTTCGCCACTATACCTCTTCCCCCCCTCCTCCCACATCCAATTCTTTAGCAAGTTCTGTTGGCTTTTCCTTTCAAATATATCTCCAATCTGACCACCTCTACCTCAATCCCTATTATCCTAGTTACGGTCATCTTGTTTCCTCCAACCACCTGCCCTAAACAATTCTCTTCACAGAAGTTAGGAAGTCTGAGAAAAGATGAATTCTAGAATCTTACCTTTAAAACGTTTGTCCAAGTATTCTAGTATTATTCTAATCATTTGAATTAATGCAAGAATTAAAGATCCAAATGCTAGGGATCCTGTGTGATATCTGTGTAAAGATAAAATGAGAATAACAGTTGAAATATCTTTACTGTTAACTAAAAGGATGTTCGCAGTGGGCGGCAGGGCCCAGTCATCAGGGCAAAAGACAGAGAAGCAGGACAGGACTACAGAGAAACAACAGTTGATTTTTACTGGCCCCGGCTGCAAAACAAAGGCTGAGCAGCAGCCCCAAACTCCCAACCCAGAGGGCCCCTCTCACATACTCTCCGAGACCGGGGAATCTGAGCAAACTCTGCCGAGACTGAAACTGAGGGTAGCGAGTGTGATATCTACAAGACAATTTTTTTAAAAGATATTTTTAAGGCTTTGTATGAAGCAGGGATCCAAAAGGCTTAGATGCCACCTAGTGGAAACCAAAAGAAAAACACCTTCTTTGCAACAGGCTAGAGTTTATACCATAAACTTTCTTTCTGGAAAAACAGCAGAATACACTTCCATTAATGTCGAGGTGGAGAAATAGCCCATTAACAGCATGAACAACCAAGGTGATAAGGCATCTCAGATGAAAGAGAAAAATCTCCAGAATATAAGCTTTCAGACATAGAAATATGCGACTTAAATGACAGAGACTTCGGGATGGTACTTTTGAAAAAACTCAGTGAGTTCAGTTCAGAAAAATAGCAACAATTTCAGGAACTGTAAAAAACAACTAGATGAGCAGAGCAAGGAGATTGAAACCCTCAAAAAGAACAGAATAGATCTTCTGGTCTGGA